CGCGGGAGGAAATGGTTCTCGGGGACTCAGCGTGAGGGTGGCGCGGGGGCACAGGAGCCCTGGGAAGGGAGCGTTGGGAGCTCAGGGCTTTCAGTGCCTGCATTCGGGGCCCTGGAGAATGGACCTAATGAGAGAACTGGCTCAGATGACCAGGCTGCGCAGAAAATTTTTGCCTATTTTCCTTTTGTCCCATTGCTTGTGTAAGCTTGCTACCCAGGGTCCCTCCTGCCCCTTTCTTTCTTCTTAGAAGACATTTCTATTTACAGAAGAACAGCACCTGTGGAGTTTACAGAGGCAGGCACTAAGTAAGTTACACTGGATGAACGTATGCCCATCAAGCAAGAAGGTGCTCAGTCTCACGACAGGCCCTTTCCTTGGGCCAGCATGTTATCCTGGGTGGACCCCTTCAGCTTGCCCACCCTCAGAGAGGAGGCCTTCCCAGGAATCCTCTAAGGGTAGGGCCAGGAAGCCCACCTGTCCAGTTATTTTCTTTCTCCCCTTACCCCACAGTTATAATAAAAATAAAAAATGCTTTGCACAGCACCTACTTAATCCTGGCTGTGGCACTGGTTTTTACGTTTGTATGTTTGAGACATTATGTTTGTCTCAGGAACAGATCTCATTGCACTGTGTGGTTTAGTCTCTGGTCAGGGTCTCAAAGAAACAGTCCAGGGGCAAAAATGTAAAGTAGATCATATATGTATCGATGTGATGGTCAGTTTTCTGTGTCAACTTGGCTGGGCTATAGTGCCCAGTTATTGAAGCACTGCTCGCCAAGGTGTCCCTGTGGAAGTATTTTGCAAGTGTGGTTCACACCTACAATCAGTTGACTTTAAGTAAAGGAAATTATCCTCGATAGTGTGGGTGGGCCTCGCCCAATCAGTTGAAAGGGTGTCATTGGAAAACTGAGGTTTTCCTGAAAAAGAAAAATTTCTGCCTCAAGGTTACATCATCAGCCCTGGCCAGTGTGGCTCAGCTGGTTGGGGGTCATCCTGCAAACCAGAGGGTCATGGAGTCGATTCCTGGTCAGGGCACATGCCTGGGTTGCGGGTTCAGTCTCCAGCTGGGGGCGCATGCAAAAGGCAATCAGTTGATGTTTCTCTCTCAGATTGATATTTTGCTCCCTCCCTTTCTCCCTCTCTTCCTCTCTCTCTAGAATCAAAAAATATTTTTTCTTAAAAAAAAACCAACAAACAAAATTACAGCATCAGCTCCTGTCCCAGAGTTTCCAGCTTGACAATCTGCCCTGCAGATTTTTGACTTGCCAGTCTTCACAGAAGCCAATTCCTTGAAATAGCTGTCTGTCTCCTACTATTTTTGTTTCTCTGGAGGATCTTGACTGATACAAGTGGCATCTTCTGAAAGACAATAAATAAAATGGAACCACTTTGTAGTCCACAGAAACATTTCTTGACTATCCTTTCTCCTTTGTCATTCTATTCTCTAGTCCCTAATATTCTCATGCTCTGCAGCTAAGTGCCGGTACCCTCTCATTCATCTCTGCAGTGTGTGTGTGTGTGTGTGTGTTTGTGTGTGTGCGCGCGCGCGCGCGCGCGCGCGCGCGCGTAGACATATGAATGGAACTCGCTCCTGCTGTCCATGAGGCTGCCCTCCTGTCTTCCATTGCTCCCTCTCCCTCCTCTACCTGTCTCCCTTGGAGTCAACCAGGCCCTGCCGGCACAGATCCACGCACCCTCAGCGCTCTGCCTCTACTGGGTGATGCTATCTGCCCCGGGGAGCGGGGGGCGCACTGTGGATGTGAAGGAAAAGGAAAAGGGAGCCTGCTGAGTAAAAAAGCCAAGTGTATATCTTATTGGGCAAGAGCAAGAAAAAGAGGACATGTATATGCATGTCTGAATCATTTTTTAGTCTATTAACATTTTCCAAACTACTTTTGAATGTAAATAATTAAAAATTCTCCTGAAATCTCCATAACAATCTGTAAGGCTCTTTAATATTACCCTTATTAATTAACTTTATTACTATTAAAGTTAATTAGGGAGGTATTATTACTTTTTAGAGCTAAGGAAAACAAGAGGCAGAGAAATTAAACATTATATCCAAGTTTCCACCTTAGGCCTCACTTAACTAGTCACAAAGTTGGGGCTAGGACCGAAGGTTTATCCCTCCATGGCATTGTGCCAGCTCTTTATGAAAGAGAATGTACTTGATTCACATTAATTAATCATCTCACAAACATACATCAAAGGCTAGGGACTGCAGATGGGCTTCATAAGACACAATCGCCACTTTCAGGGTCCAAGGAAAAAGAGTGGGTGCAACCCCCGCTGGCTTCTCACCACCATCAGGAGAAAGGCAGTGTGTGAGGGGTCTTCCTTAGGTGTGATCTCCAGCTTACCTTCCCTGCCTGCCTCGTGGGACATGGGGGCACAGCCTGCCCCAAATCTGGTGGCTGCGTGTGTCAGGGACCCCCATATTAACTGATAGCTCTCTGCCAAAGGTCCGGAGGCAGTGACCGGAGGTGACAGCGCTCCCACAGGCGCGGGCTGGGGCGCGGGCTGATGCCGTGGGCAGGAGCATCATCCTCGAGGGATGAGGGGCCAAACAGGCAAGGAAAAGAGTCTATTTCTTTTACAAGAGTAACCTCAGGGCAGATAGGGGAAGAAGACTTCAAACCACCCTGGAACAGCAAGGTCTCTTCCCACCCAGAACTATTGCCAGCCCCGTTTCTCCACTGATTAGTCTTACCATCATGAAAAAGATAATTGAGAGCAGAAAAGATTATTTTCAAGAGAAATAGGGAAGAGGGGATGAAAAAGAAAGACTATATAAGAAGATAAAATGATTGGAAGACATTAAAAGATTCAAATTAGATAACAGCAATTATAAAAATTTGAGAACATCCTTGAAAGAACAATTAAATATAAACATAAAATGATTTAAAGTTAAAAATCCTAATAGTATAAAACAAAATAACAATTAATGTTAAAGTAAAATTTTAATTACACTGTTTAAAGGCTTTATAAATCATAATTACACTTTTTTGAAGATTTATAATTAAAAATCACCTAGATATAAATAGTATTATGTTAAAAATAGTTAAAATAATATTTTGCTTTATTTATTTTTAAAATATGTATTTACTTATTAGAAAAAGGAGAAAGAAAGTGAGAGAAATGTCAGTTGGTTGTCTCTCGTATAGCCCCTACTGGTGACCAAACCCACAACCCAGGTATATGCCCTGACAGGGAATTGAACTGGAGAACTTTTGCTTTGCAGGATAATGCCTAACCAACTGAGGCACATCAATCAGGATATTAAAACAATGTTTTAGAAATGATGAGGATATCAATAGAAAAATAGACAAAGAACATGAATTCACACATGAAAAGTCCAAATAATAATAAGCGTATACAAAAACGTCTGACCTTACAACTAGTAAATAAACGCAAATTAAAACTATGAGCTACTGAATTTTACTTATCGTTCGCTATGGTTTGAAAAATGATATTCAGTATTGTCAAGCATGCAAGAAACAACCATTGCACATTCTATAGGTAGAACTGTAAATTTTTTCAGCGTTCAGGGTTTGACAAGACACATGAGAAGCTTGAAAATAAACCTACCTGTTTTTTCTTAAAATTTTTAATTGTGGAAAAATGCGTATAACATAAACTTTATTATCACAACCGTTCTTAAGTGTACAGTTCTGTGGTCTTAATCAAGTACCTTCATATTACTGTGCAATTATTAACTGCCGTTATCTCCAGAACTGTTTCATCTTGCAAAACAAACCTGATATGCACCAGGGGTGTCCAACCTCTCAGCGTCTCTGGGCCACACTGGAAGACGAGTTGCCTTGGGCCACTCATTAAATACATTGTGACACGCGATCACAACAAATTCTCATAATGTTTTAAGTTAACTTACGATTTTGTGTTGGGCTGCATTCATAGCCATCCTGGGCCGCAGGTTGGACATCCCTGCATTATACAATACCTCCCTGTTCCCCTGACCCCAGTCCCTGATAACCACTGTTCTACTTTTTGTCTCTGTGGATTTGACTACATTATGTACCTCATATTAGTGGAATCATACAGTGTTTGTCTTTTCAAATAAATACTTTTTTGCCCAGTAATTTAATTGGTAGGACTTTATCCTAGGAAGGTAATCACAAATAGACAAAACAAATGACCTACAAGAATCCTCATCAAAACATTTGTTAGTAGTGTTTTATTTGAAAATTAGGAAAAATAATCCCTAAATGCCCAAGATTAGGAAATTTGATAAATAAATTAAAATTTATTACATATGGAGGAATACTACACCATCATTAGAAATATTGTTGTAAAAGAAAATGACATGGAAAGGAGAGTCGCAATTTATTTAGCCAAGTCCCTAGCAGGTTAAAGAACAGTGTGTACTCTATGATCCCATTCGTTTTGGAGAAAAAGATGTGTGTGTATTCTTAATATGTTAGTTACTTATGGGTAGTGGGTATTTATGAGTGATTTTAACTTTCTCTTCTTTCTATAGAGAGGAAGAAAATAATTTAGTCCAAAAGATGGCAGAAGTAAGAAATTCATCCTGAAAGTATACTTTGGTGTCATTCTGTTGGGACAGATCGCCTCCTGAACGTGCTCTCCTTTGGCTGCCACGCTGGAGCCTTATTGTCTCCTGACAGTTTTTAAACACTTCACTGATTCCCATGTCCTGAGCAGGCAGGAGCCATCTTCAAATCGACAGTTTCCAAGGAGAGAGCATGTGTTTCTCAGAAGAACAGCAGCTTCTATCTCAGAAGAGTGCATACATGTTTTATGTTGTCAGCACCATTCAGATTAAGAAGGTACAAAGTCCATCAAACTGTAGAAGAGGTACAAGAAAAAAAATACTGCATCATAGAATGAGATATTCAACTGTGGCGTGAATGTTTAAGACAGCTGATGGCCCAGGCAGGCGAGTCAAGGAAGGTGGTCTGGCTCTGGAGGTGGCTTTGCACCTAGAGGAATTCTCTTCATGACCTCGGTGGGTCTTCTTCTTTAAGGCCAGCAGTGCTTGAGATACCAGATGGTTTCATTTTTCAACTGTGGTCCAAAGAGAAGGTTGAGTTGCGCCAGAACAGCAATCAGCCAAAAGAGATAGCAACAAACTGAACGGGTCACCAACATAATGAGGATAACACACCAGCTGGGACTCTTAGGAATGAGCCAGGAGACCCGGAGGCCGATAATGCTCCAGAACAGGCACGTCAGGATCAGAAAGACCGTGAGGCCACTTTGGCCGTGGCTGCCATCCCACCTCCCAGCATCTGACCGGCCGCCGCACTTTGATCCCACTCAGAAGTGCCGAGTGATTTAATTTTCAATCTTTTGTTTATCTACATTTATTACAATGGACACACGTTATATTTAATAACTAAAAGTTACTCAAGATGAAAAATAACTGTTTACAATTGAAATTCTAAATGAAGAATTTAAAAATAAGATTGATCTAAGTAATTTAAATACCTAAAACATACACAAAGAATATATTATATCAAGGGCTTGGAAATATAATTAATAAGATATTTCTAATCAAGCAGAATAAAATGAACCCTACCACAAAAACACAGAATCGCCATTTATTGAATCCCATAGCATGCCAGATGTTATCCATGCTAGGTGATTTAAATACATCGACTGAGTAATAGGGTAAATTATTTTTTTATTTAAACAAACAATGGTTCATAAGCGGGAGAAGGAATCCCGCTTGGGCATTTAGGGATTATTTTTCCTAATTTTCAAATAAAACACTACTAACAAATGTTTTTATGAAGATTCTTGAGCAGAGCGAGAGATTGACTGGGATCCGATCCTGACCAACTACATAATAGCCTGGAGACTGAGTAAGAGACATTTCATTTAGATGCAGTACACCAACCCATGTGGACTGCCCTTAAATCCCATTCACCAACCTGCTGTCTAGCAATCATCTTGAGAAAAAAGTAAAAGAGCTCTGATGTGTAAACGCTCGTTTGTTCTATTGTGGTAGAACTATTCTCACCACGGTCAATTTCAATCTACGCAGGTGGCGTTACTGAATGCAGACCTGGATGTCACGGAATGTGGGACAACTCTTACATGGCAGTGGGAGCTTGTTTTGAGCCCATCGCTGCTTTCCGTTCCTCAGTTTGGGGCTGCCTCGGGCATATCTGTTCTGCTGTTCCTCTTTTTCCACCGTTCGATTTTGTCAGCTGCATAGATGAATGGTTATAATAGATTCATAATATTCTTGTTAATTATTGCATGTTCTGGATCCCAGCTTTCCTGTAAATAATTCACTCATCCCCTAAGATCTATCAAACAAATTTTCTCTTTCTTCAAATGTATTTTTTTAAGTGAAGTACTACTTCTGTCTTACATGCAGGAAAGTGCACAAAGGTTAAGCATCCACCTCAGTGAATTTTTACAAATATATATGCCCACGTAATAACCACACTATACAACATTTCCAGTCTATCAGCAGACTCCCTCGTGTCTTCTCCCAGTCAACTGCACGCATGAATGTCACATGTGCTTTGACATGTACCCCCACAGATTAGTTTTGCCTATGCTTGAGCACCGTGGAAATGGCCGCATGCAATATGTATTCCTCTGTGTTTGGCTTCTTTTGCTTGGTATCATGTCTGTGATATTCAGCCATGTTGTCTAGTATAGTTTATTCTTTTTCTTTATAGCCTAGCATTCCACGGTGTGAATAAAACCACAGTTCATTAGTCCATTCCAAAGACGATGGAAATGTGGGGCCCTTGTAAATAAAGCGGCAATGAATATTCCTGTGTGTGCCTTTTGGTAGACATAAGCACTTATCTCTGTTGTGTATCTTCACAGGGGTGGAATTGCTGGGTCATTAGCTAGGATGCGATCAGCAAATAAATGGTTGAAGCTTCTCCTAGTCCCTCGGTCTCCCTTGACTGCTGGCGGGCCTGAGCCACCTCTGTGCCGGATGCCTGCATTGCCACCTCACAGCCGTGTACCGTCCCTCCCCATCTTTGCTTAATAACCACGTTCACCAAGGTGCTAGCAGCTACTGCAGTATCTCATATTGGGCATCAGAGCTTTGGCATGTAGAGCTCAAGGGCAGTCTCTTGTGAGAGAGCTGCATGAAGGAGAGGCAGAGTTCTGGAAAGAATTCCGGGGGATCTGGACCCTCCCAAGGCTCCGGTGAAACGAAGTGGTGTGGTCTTGGGAACTGACGCAGCCCGTCTGGTTGTCTGCCCCTTCACCTGTGAGATAAAGAGGAAGAGTGGATGATTGTCACGGTCACTTCCACTTGAAAGTCCTGCGATGCGTCTGGAAAGCATTGCACTGTCTAGACTCTTGTTCCAGAATGTGCTTTGGAACATGTCAGTAAAACAGTTTCAGTGGAGTTGAGATGCCCACAAAGTGCCCTCCTTGGGTGCCTGCCCGAGCTGGGGCAAAAGTGAAGCCAAACAGGACAACATACTTGGGTGAGCAGCAGCTAGATAGCATGCACACCTAGGGACATGTCTACATGATTAGCATTAATCAACAGGCAATGCTCTGCTTGTCCAGCATCACAGCAGAAGTGCTCGTGTGACCTTGATGCATTTCAAGCATTTGCTATTTGGAAGTGAAGAGGCTAACAGCCTGCATTTCAGAAATCGCTCAAGATTCATGATAGGTGAATATTGTTAAAAGGTTAGGAAAATGTTCTGTGCTCTTGAGTAAAAATGGTTTGAGAATTCGTCAAACCAGAGGTGGAGGAGCCATTAAGGAGAGATGGCAGATGGACTGTTGGTGGCTGTTGCAGGATCGGCGATGAGAGGCGAGGAGCCTTCCCTGACTTGGGCTCTGGTCATCGGAGGTGCCCTCTCCAAATCCAGCATGAGGGTTTCTGGGACCCTAGCAGAGCTTCAGGGACAAAGAGACAGGAACAAAGCTGGGTTGGCCTCTCGCTCTCTGGACAGACTTTCCCCACTCTCTGGCATCCCTCCTTCCCCGCCAATACCAAGGCTCAATATTTCAGCCACTGTATTCTGACGCATGTAGGATGAGGAGAAAAGAAATTAGGTGTCAGGGAAAAACCATAAAAGAGGAAAAAGATGTAACAGAAGAATGTCCAGGAAATGGCAGAGAGTGGCCTTTTAGAAATGTGCTATAAATTTGTTGAGACTTTAGAATAATCTTAATGCCAGAGGACCAAGAAACCTTGGTGCACTGCCAAGTTGTAACTCATGTGTAAAACTTATTTCAGCTGCATGGTGTTAAGTGATATCTGTGAAGCAGAATGGTCTCTGGAGCCCATCCTATGACACGATGTGGCACAGCATATACAGTTTGTTGTGAGCAAGAAAACAGTAGCACAGGGTACAATGTTAAGCGAAGTCAAAGACAGGTGGAGAGGTTTCGAGACATGGCAGAGCTCTGCCTCACGATGTGACTAGATGCATGGGCAGTGCACTGGTCAGTTTCACCTGAACAGTGATGAGATGCTAAAGGGAGAACATGCGATTTATGTGCCATTACTGTGTTTACTTTCCAAGACACAGAGAGACATTGTTATATAGTATTTATGAATGACCCATAATCATTGCCAACTCATTTCATGCCTTTTGGGGGTTTTTAATATCTTCAAGTGTGCTGCTCCAAGTTCTTGTATTCAAAATATCTCAAATAAGCATGTTTGCTCATGTACACACATACACACACAACTACAATTTTAGGGTCTCATTGTTTTCATATGATTTTTTTTTGAAGACTTTATTTTTAGAGAGAGGGGAAGGGAGGGAGAAAAAGAGGGAGAACATGATCGATGTGTGGTTGCCTCTTGCGTGCCCCCACCTGGGGACCTGGCTCGCAACCCGAGCATGTGCCATGACTGGGAATCAAACTGGCAACCCTTTGGTTCGCAAACCAGCACTCAGTCCATTGAGCCGCACCAGCCAGGGCTGCATGATTCTTAATTGGTGGGGAAAGCTTTAAGTCTGATGTCCTGATACAGCTTGTTGTATAAGTCTCAGTCCATATTTTCAGAATGTCTTTATATTGATTGCACTATGTAAGAAGCACTTTTCAGTGATTTTAACTCATTTGCTATAACTATGGCAACTCTATGTCCTAGATTTTCTAGGATGATCCTGATTTCAAGGACTGATGTGATTGTCTCTATAAGTACATACATAATAGTCATAGCATGTCCTCCAATTTTTAGCTCACGTAACATCATCATTATCTCTATATTCTATTTCAGCAGAGGCCATAAAATGAGTTTTGTACTGTGCAGTTTAAATGCTACCAAAAAGAGCTGGGGAGAGGGCTATGATGAGTAACACATTGATTAGCTTTTCTAGCTGAGGACCAGAATCAGGGCGCTCCTCGCTGGTTCCTCATCATGCCCGGTCATGTCCTTTCCGTTTTTAACCCTCCTTCTACACACCTGTTCCTACATTTTCAACGAATATAGCAGGAACAATCAAGTGATGTGTGAAGAAAAGTGGGAGAGGGGGAGTCACTTGGATTTTGTCTTCTGCAGCCTTTTGTTTAAAGCTGGGATTGAAAAACCAGGGTATGTAGTGAAAACCTTCTTCCTACCTCGAAACTCCTGGAATTATTTGTTAAAGGGATTGAGAAGTCTGGGTGGATTTTTTTCACAGGGCGGGGTGGGCGGGGTTGGCTTGGAGATGATTGGAATTTTAATAGCAAAAGCATTTGTTTGTTCGTTTGTTGGTTGGCAGTGTTAATGCCAATTGCTTAACATGGTGGGAAAGTAAGGCATCACTCACGGTGAAGGGGTTTGAAGGTAATATTGCTTGATGGCCAAGCTAAAATTTGTGGAGAATCAAATTACTGCTTAGTTCTCTGCTTTACGTCATGGTAAATCGTTGATATTCATTCTTTTTATTTAGAGCGCTGGTTTCTTGGCTGGAGACTGAAGGAATTCTTTTGTTGTATCATTGTTGTAGATCTTTGGCAAGGCCTCATGTGGTTGGGGAGACTCTTTAGTAAAGTTACTTGTGCTGTAAGACCTAGGAAACATGGAACATGATCTCAGGAAGACAAGGTGCCTTGACAGAGATGGCCATTATAAAAATTGCATTTGGAAGAACTTTGTGAATTTAGGCAATTCTGGAAGTTTCTGGAGCTGTGAGTCTTCACTCCAGTGCTCTGTTACATGTAGGACTATGCTAGTTCTTGAAGGTCTGTTTTTATCTTAGTCTCCCTTTCAGTTGGCTTATTTTCCAGCACCGTGAAGCTTCCCACATTTTCTTTTCTTTCTTTTTCCTCCGTAAAGTGCCCTGTTTTGGACTTTATTAAATGATAAATTAATTTCAGTCTTGTTTTGCTAAGCATATATTCCTCAACAACTTTAACGATATGTACTTCACATGTCATAAAGATCATTTATTTTAAGTGTGCAAATCCAATGAGTGTTAGTATATTTACAGAGTTATGCAATTATCACCATAATCTAATTTTAGAACATTTTTATCACCCCCCAAAGAAACCTTATACCAACTAGAAGTTACTTCCCATCTCACCCTCTTCCTGTCCTTGATGAGCCTGATATACTTCCGCTTTCTATAGATTCTGAACATTTCATTTAAATGGAATCATACAATATGTGGTCTTCTGTGTCTTGCCTCTTTTCTTCTTTTTTTGGCATAATGTTCTTGAAGTTCATCCATATTCTAGCATATGTCAGCACTTTATTCTTTTTTTATTGCTGAGTAATAGTCCATTGTCTGGATACACTAATTTTATTATATAGTCATCAGCGTATGGACATTTGAATTGTTTTATGCTACTATAAATGAAATTTGTTTTGTAGTTTCATTTTGGCATGTTAATTGCTAGTGAACAGAAATATAATGAATTCTTCTATGTTGATCTTTTATCCTGCAACCTTGCATAACATGTTTTTATTAGTTATGACAGTTTTTTTAGTGGGTTTCTTGGGATTTTTATTTTCATAGCATCACATCATTTGTAATTACAGGTAATTTTACTTTTCCAGTGGATGTCTTTTATTCTTCTTACAGTTTCTGCTTCCACCTATCTTTAGTTTGCTATGATGCCTCATGTTTCCAAGTCAGTATCATTGCTTTTTTCTTTACATCTTTTTGTATGTTCTGAATTTTAAAGTTTATATAGATGAAGAAAAAAGACATAGATAATCTTATTGGCTCAAGTGTCAGCAATTATTTTTGTTTGGGCGAAGCTTTGTTTTCTAGCTCATATGTGTCTGGCTAGTAAATGCTGCCTTTGGGTTAGATGATTACTAAGAAGCTGTGGTCAGAGAGAAAGCGAGACCACAGGTTCTGGGTATTGTTAGACATTTTCTTTGAAATTGCTATAAATAAAACAATATTGTTATTGTAGGCATTTTCCCAAGAATAAGATCTATCTTTTTTTAATTCAGAATGTTTCTTTGTCAGTTGTTGATTGTAATGGATTGTGGATTCTTAGGTATTTTTATTTATTTTTTATTGAGGTATAATTGACACATAACATCATATTAGTTTCAGGTGTACACATCATGAGTTCATATTTGTACATATTGTGAAATGATTACCAAATAACTATAGCTAACATCTGTCTCCATACATAGTTTCGATCTCTTTCTTGTGCTGAGATCTTTCAGGTTCTACTATAGTTAAGAATACTGTATTGCATATTTAAGGTATTTTTAAGCTAAGATCACTTACATATCTCTATTGTAAAAAATAAAGTTAACACACTACTTTTCATAATTAGTTTTCATCATATGTATTTGGTTGAATGGACACATTGAATATTATAAGGTAATAAATACATTTAAGAAAACTAGTGGTTCCTTTGTCTCTGTATTCCCCAAGGAACTCTTTCCTTGCAATTGGTTATTTGGTTAGAATTTACTGAGGGTCTGTTTTATGTAGAACCTCCAATAAGTAGTACAATATCAGGGTAATAAGTGTGGAAGGTGTTGTTTGTGAAGAGGAGGTCCCAAAGAAAGAAAAGAAATGATTTCTGGGATTTTTACTTTCCTTCTACAGTTTTCCTTTCCTGTAGAAGGGAAGTAAAAACATATTGTACAGCCCTGACAGGTGTGGCTCAGTTGGTTGAGTGTTGTTTCACAAAATGAAAGGTTGCTGGTTTGATTCCTGGTCAGGCACATGCCTGGGTTGCGAGTTCAGTCCTGGCGCTTCTAAGAGGCAATTGATCGATGTTCCTCTTTCACTTTGATGTTTCTCTCTCTTTCTTTCTCCCTCCTTTCCCCTCTTTATTTAAAAATAAATAAATAAACTCTTTTAAAAAAGTTGTACAACTTGAGAACCTGTACAAAATCACAAGTAGTCTCAAAACTGCAAAGTAGCGTAATATAATTTAGATATATGTATGTTGAAAAGAACAAAATGATTACATGCAATAAATTCAATACTCTGCTACTGACCAGGCATACAGAGATGAAAAAGAAATAGTCTCTGCCCTAAAGATGCCTAGAGTAATAAATCAGCACATAACTGGAACTAAAAAACGTTATTGCATCTTTGCGGATACCTACGGAATAAGAAGATGCCATGCTGTGGTGTTGCGGCTGCTCTTTAATGTTGAAAAGTACTGAAGATAGCGTGGGTGAAAAAGGGGCCACGTTGGCCAGGGCCCTGGGCTGCATTATGATTGTAAAATAAACCCAGAGAGAGCAGAGCTACTACATCGATTTTGCTCCCCAGTTTGGTGAGGGAGGGTGGGCGGTCAACCAGCCTTGGATCCTTGGGAAATGGTAGGGGCTTCATTTACAGGATACCGCATAGGCTAAGGCAGTCCTCCCCAGAAGGCTCTTGGGGAATTCAGGGTTAATGTATTTAAAGGTACACCTGGAGCACAACTCTAGTAAAGCACAACACCTGGTAAACAGCGATTAAATGGTAATTGCTGTTGCCATATAGTTCTCCTGCTTCTTTTTCCTTTTGGACAAATTCTATTCCACTTTAATCTATTTACCCACAACCATAAAATATTGCTGTAATTTAATTATGCATTGTTGTTGACACTATGGGACAATGAATTTTATTTATATTCCAGTGGAAACAGACAGAGTGCTATCAAGAAGCAAAGCAGAGAAATGTGGACAAAAAAGGGGCCACATACTAAACCTGACAAGCTCAGGGGAAGCCGGCATGGCAGGCCCTGCAAATTCAGGGACCAAAAGTAACCGCACAGGTTACTTCCCGAGGAATCTAGTTGTAACTCTTCCTCTAATGTATGCACTCTTTGACGTTCACATACTTTTCTCTGCCTTATCGGCACTATGGCCTAAGTAGTTTATGTAACAGAAGCAGAAGAGGACACAAAAGCATGCTCCTCATACTTGGTGCAAATAGTTTATCCTCCCTGTATTCTTGCTTGCATTTTTGAAAACCACTATACTTAAAATTTTACTTTACAAAAATGAAATAAATCAGTACATAGTTCATGAGATAAAATCATAGCCCAAATACAGTGGATTTTTTTTCGGGGAGGGGCGTGGTGTTTGTGTCTAAAAGGAAGAAATGCTAAATTTAGCCCCAGGGAAAGGTTTATGGAAACCTAGAAATGGCTCCAATTGGAGAGGACATTTCTCAATTAAAATGCGAGTTACTTTCGGAGAGATTGTATTTTTCAACTATTAGCCTAAATTTCTAGAATACTATTTTCAGAGCACATTTTGTTAGATGAATGAACTTCCTGGAAAATTGCCCCTTTGGAAACCTTTCGGGCAGGGAAGACTACAACTCCCAGAATGCCATGCTCCGCTCGCGTTGTCTTGATTAAGGCGAGTGTGTTCTCTCACCCTTGGCGCCAGATCGAGACTACAATTCCCACTATACCCAGGGGCTCCGGAAACCTTGTCAAACACCACCTGTTGCCATAGCATCCGGGTGCTGGACAACCAATCCAGGTGCTCCTGCTGAGCGGAGGCGGGCCATTCGTATCTCCCACCAACCGGAGGCATTTTGTTCTGGAGCGTGACCGGAGGAGGTGGGAACCAAGGACCGGCGCGTTCTCCTTGCCTTTTGGGGTCGTGGCCTTGCTCCCGCTCTGCGAGGCACGCGTCCGGGCACGTCCACGCGCGTCTGTGCGCGTGGGGCCTCAAGTGCTCCTGGGTCCACGCTAGGACTCTGCGGGGAGAGAAGAAACCATGGGCGGGACCTCCAGCACCCGCCGGGTCACCTTCGAGGCGGACGAGAACGAGAACATAACCGTGGTGAAGGGCATCCGGGTGAGTGACAGTGGGTGGGCAGAGGGCCAGTACTCGGACTTGGACCCCAAACCTCCGACCTTCCCCGGACCCGCTCGGCCTGCTTTCCCCCATCCCGGATCCCAGTGTTGTCCGGCCTGAAGCCGAGTTTTCTGCAAAGAAGCTTGAAGTTTCAAGACTTGGGACATTCATTCAGAGCTGTTTCCTGCTTGTGTGCCAAGTGCTGAGCATTGCTGGGCACGTATGGGACGCCAGGCTGGTTCAGGGGGGCACAGTCTAGTGTTGATTGTATTTCTCACTAGTTACGGTACTTGATTTGTAACTCCTGTCTCACTGTACCCATCTCTGAAATGGGGCTTGTCTTACACCTCCTGGGTTCAGGACCCAAACCCTGCTTTTGCACTATCCACATCACCTCTTTTGGGGTGAACTTGCACTCTAAGGAACCCTTTACCTGTTCTTCGTCATTTAGTATACCACCCGTTCCCCCACCACGCTCCCCAAATACCCATTCCACTTTTCTGGCCTCAGGTGACTTCTAGCTTCTCCCTCCTTTATTTTCACTTGACATATCATCTTTCCCAGGCACCTCCTCTGTGGCCTGCTGCTCCCAGGTTCTGGACTAGGCCCAGTTGCTGTAGGACTGGTGCCTGCCAGTCAGACAGGGCTTGAGATAGGATTGCAGTTTTTCAGATCACCAGAAGTAATGCAGTCAGTTTCAGCTGAGGCATTGTAGAGAATTTTTAAACGCCCCCTGCATGTGCTTGGTACAGAGACGGAAAACTTGATTTTTCTCTAGGGTGTCAGTATCCCAGTCCTAACTTCATTAACTTCTCCGCTGCACCTGCTTTTGGAACCTCTCATTTTTGGAAGTATGCCTGAGCCTAGTAAATAAAGCACTTTGACTTCAGAAAGTTTTATAATAGTTTTTATTTTTCTTCCAATGTTACTACACGACCAATGTAAGAAATGTATGTGTGTAAATTATTTTTAGCATGTTCCAGGAAATAAAACTTCTTAACTATTTAAAGTGTTTTAAAACCTTTTGCTCTGAAACTGTTACCTTGAGAAGAATTTATTAAAGTTTTCTTTACAGAAACTCAGACTGTTGAACTCAATTTTTGATCTGTGACCGGCATTTCCTTAAATCATATTAATTAATGCTATCACCACATTTTTAATATTGGAGGCTGCTTTCTTTGCCTTGTTGTGGTTTAGTTGGTACTCTTTGGAGTAAAATAAAAATTACTGCAAACTCTGAGTTTTCTGCAGAGATTTGTTTAATTTTGCCTTTAGGCTGTGAGTGTTTCAAACTAGAGGGTGAAAAAGAAATAAAAGTTAAAGAAAAGCAAATTAAGTTTTGGGTGAGAAAACATTGGCTAGAAAAGTGTATAAATCTAAGTTCCTGTACTCAAGTACAGACACAGCAAGGACAGCAAGCAAAATTAAAACAATCTGGCCATAGCACAGAGATTCATATCAAATTTTAGAGAAGGTTAAATAGGATAAGTATGATCATAGGAATAGATGAAAATGGGAACATTGGCTAAACACTTTTTAAAAAAACACTTCTTTTTTTCAACAAAAGAAGCATACCTTTGGCAACCTACCTTAATAGAAGCGTCCTTTATTTTTTTTCTTTACTATAGAGTACGTGTTACCTGTATTGTTAAAGTTCAGGCACTCACTACGCTCGTTTTGACCTCTCTGCTTCACTTTCCCTTAGTGTCTGCCCTTCAGCTGGGATGCCCTTGCCGTGTTCTCCGTGTTGCTGTAAATCCTTTTTCGAAGGATGACTTGTGATCTCTCTGGGCTTCAGTTTTCTCATCTGCAAAGTGGTGGGGCTTGAGTACATCACTAAGCTCTCTAATTTTTATTTTTAAATTAAAAAAAATTTTTATTGACTCTATTGGGGGTGACATTGGATGATAAAATTATATAGGTTGCAGGGGTGCAGTTCTGTAGTATGTCATCAGGACATTGTATTGTTTGTTCACCAGCCCAAGTCAAGTCTTCCATCATCATTTATCCTTCCTCCCACCCCCGCCCTATTCTCTCTAGTAATCACCATACTGTTTTCTTTCTATGAGATTCTTTTCTCTTTTCCTTTTTTCCTTCTCTCCCTTCCCCTCCCCTTCCCTCCCTTCCTTCCCTCCTTTCTTTATCGCTTCATCTTTTTCACCCAGCCCTCCTAAATCCTTCCCTCTGACAGTTGTCAGTTTGTCCTTTACCTGTGAGTATATTTCTGTTTTGTTAGTTTATTTTTTTCTTTAGAGTCCACATCTAAGTGCGATCATGTGGTATTTGTCTTTCTCTGACTGGCTTATTTCACTTAGCATAATAATCTCCAGGTCCATCCATGCTATCGCAAAAGGTAAGATTTACTACTTTTTTATGGCGGTGTAGTATTCCATTGTGTAAATGTTCCACAGTGTTTTTTTGTCTGCTCATCTACTGATGGGCACTTGGGCTGTTTCCAGATCTTGGCTATTGCAAACCATGCTGCTGTGAACATAGGGGTGCATATAGTCTTTCAAATTGGTGTTTTCTGGATTTTTGGGGTATATACCCAGAAGTGGGATTGCTGATTCAAAAGGCAGTTCCATTTTTAATATTTTGAGAAAATGTTGTACTGTTTTCCACAGTGGCTGTATTCCCACCAACAGTGCACGAGAGTTTCCATTTCTCCACATCCTTGCCAGCACTTTTGTTGATTTATTGATGATAGCCATTCTGACAAGTGTGAGTTAATATCTCATTGTAGTTTTAATTTGCATTTCTCTGATGATCAGGGATATAGAGCATTTTTTCATGTATTTATTGGTCATCTGTATGTCCTCTTTGGTGAAGTGTCCATTCAGGTCTTTTGCTCATTTTTTAATTGGATTATCTTCCTGCTGTTGAGTTGTATAAGTGCTTTATATATTTTGCAGATTAACCCCTTATCAGATGTATCATTGGTTAATATGTTGTCCCATACAGTGGATTCCATTTTCATTTTGTTGATAGTTTCCTTTGCTGTGCAGAAGCTTTTTAGTTTGATATAGTCCCATGTGTTTATTTTTCTCTTTGTTTCTCTTGCCCTTGAAGACATATTGGCAAAAACATTGCTGTGAGAAATGTCTGAGATTTTACTGCCTTTGTTTTCTTCTAGGATTTTTACGGTTTTGAATAACATTTAAGTCTTTACTCATTTTGAGTTTATTTTTGTGTATGGTGTAGGAAGGTGGTCTCATTTCACTTTTTGGCACATACCTGTCTATTTTTCCCAACACCATTTATTGAATAGACTATCTTTACCTTATTACATGTTCTTGCCTCCTTTTTCAAATATTTATTGACCATAAGGTGTAGATTTATTTGTGGACTCTATTCTGTTTCATTGATCTATATGTCTGTTTTTTTGCCATGCTCTTTTGGTTACTTTGGCCTTGTACAACAGTATAGTTTGACATTAGGTAGCGTGATTCCTCCAACCTTGTTCTTTCTCAAGACTGCTGTGGCTGTTTGGGGTCTGTTGTGGTTCCACATATATTTTTGGAGTATTTGGTCCAGTTCTGTGAAATACATCATTGTATCTTGATAGCAGTTGTGTTGAGTTATAGATAACTTGGGGTAGTATGGACATTTTAATTGTTCCTATCCATGAACGTGGGTGAGGATGTCTAATTTTTTCCATTTCTGCAGTTCTGTGCGTCTAGTGGCACCGTGAGTTTCTTTCAGCCATGCACACAGCCCATTGCATTCCTCTAAAAATGGCATGCCGTTGAGTTGTTGAGTACCCCAGGATCATTGAGATTTCTTCGAGGTCTTGGCCAAAAGAGCACCAACTCAGAGTTAAATAAACCTCAGTTTAAATCTCACGTTAGGCGTTGTCCAGGTCTGCGCTTGGACAGATCACTTCTCTGATCATATTTCTTCATCCTGAACTATCACTTCTCGATCGTGGTAAGATGAGGTAAGGTATTTAGAACATGTGGTGCATTTTAGATGTTTAACAAAAGGCAGATGTTACATAGGGTTCCTTGCACATCTAATATTCTAAGCTGCTTTGGCTGTTCTGTGTGTTATAGTGGAAAAAACATGCGCTTCAGAACCGGGCAGGCCTGGGTTTGGTCCTACCTCTCTGCCCGTCACTTCACTGTGTGGCCTTGGACAAGCCACTTCCGATGTGTTTCAGTGCTCAGTACACCTGGATAATGCAGCTTAATTGTGATGTTTAGGTACTCAGCACTGCTTGTGAGAATTTGACATGGTTTGTTAGTATCTAGCACAGTGCCTAGTACTTTGAGAGTGTTTAGCAGGATAAGTAAATTTATATGAACTTAAAATAATAGATAAAAATAAGACTATATTGTGTTCCCATAGGCATGCCTAAAGAGGAGTGGTCTGGGAAATGGCAGGCTTGGTTCAGCCAACCTTTGTTTTTCACTTAGCTTGAGACAGTCTCCTTCGCCCCTGAGGTGTGGGGAAGGGTAAGCAACGCTGTCAGTGTCGTGAGTAAGCCACTGTGTTTGCGGTAGCTCCGGTGATGGAAACCTGGTACTGATGGTGACCAGCTTCAGTGTTGAATTGCAGATAGGTTAGTGGAACTTGACTGAAGGAAACTTTCCAAATTTGCCCAGTTGTCTAACATTCATGTCATGGCTTATAAGAAATGGGAGTGTAACAGCAGCTCAGCAGACTCAGTCACTGATGGAGCACCAGTTCTGTGTTCCACTGATAAGGATAGTAATTTCATCTTTATTTATGTTGATATACAAAAAGTAACATTTAGTAAGCAACATGAGGGTTTGAGTTACTAGGCTGTGTTTATTAATAGATCATGTTTTTCCAGATTTTTCTTGCTGAGGTCATCAACAGCTAGCAATGAACGGACCTACTTACATTTTAAGTTTGAAGTTTTTTTCTCATCTTCCAGGTGTTATTTTCATGGTATTTATGAGTCTTTTTTTTTTTCCTTTATCCTTAGCAATTGATAGCTTTCCCCATATGTATTTTACACCTGATTCCAACTTTGA